GGGAGCCGGCTGCGCTGCTGGCTGCTGTCCCCGGGGTTTGGGGTTGTGGGCGAGGTGTTTGTTCTCCGTCAATAGATAACCCCGGCAGGTTGGCAGTGCGAGGGGAGCACTTTGTCACGCAGCCTGGTGCCCTGCCAAGCGCGCCTTGTTTGCTCAGGCAGTTTCATTTCTTTCCCCGCTGCAGTTGGTGTTACCTAACTGGCCCGGGACAATGTTTAACCAGCTCCAACAGCAGCAGGGAACCTGTCTGCCTCGCCTGCTGTGCCCCCGCTGTCCCCACTGCCATCACTGAGCGGGTGGCACGCCAGGCTTGGGGCAGAGATGGGGGGGCTGTGGATCATGAAAGTGTGAAAAGGGTTTGGAAGGGGATTTACAGACCAACATGATGCACTCCCTGTGCCATGGCAGGGACACCTTCCACTGTCCCAGGGTGCTCCAAGCTCTRTCCAGCCTGGCCTTGGGCACTTCCAGGGATCCAGGGACAGCCACAGCTGCTCTGGGCACCCTGTGCCAGGGCCTCCCCACCCCCTCACAGGGAAKGATTCCTTCCCCATATCCCATCCAACCCTGCCCTCTGTCCATGCAAAGCCATTTCCCTTGTCCCTTGAGGTCCTCCAGCGGTGTGGGTGCCTTGTGAGAGAAAGAGGAGGAGGAGGCAGGGCTGTGTGGGCACAGAGAGGAGCAGCAGATCCTGTGAAATGTGAAATGTGTGTGGGTCTGGGGATGAAGAGCCAGGAGGGGCTGGACAGAGAGAGCAAGGCTAGAGACACTCACAGACCAAGAGATGGACACAACCAGCTCACAGCTGGGATATCCCTGTAGTGACCCCAAAACCCAAACTGAGCCACCCCAGCGGAGCCTCCCAGCACACTGGCACGAAAAAACAGACCATTTGTTTATTTTCTTATTCTCTTCAGAGGTGCCTGGATTTTATGGCTGTGGCAAGCCATGACAGGAACTGAAGAAAAAGAGAATTTTTCTCCAAGACAGCCTCTCGTGATACTTTTACCCTGGGRTCTGTTGGGAGACTTTTCCCATCAGGTGTTCACAAGCTGAACGTGCTTCTGGCTCACAGTTCCCATGGAAACATCTCGGGAATCCTTCAAGTCTCAGCATTAAGGTGTGATTTGTCTCCCTCAAGGCTTCCCAAAGGGGCACAGGGGCCATTGCTCAGCCCTGGTCCCGGTTAGGGAACAAAGAGCAGTTTGCCCTGGTCGCTGCTTTCCTCAGACCTGTGGCCAAAAGAGGGTTGCTGTGATGCCTTAGGATTTTTAGCTTCTATATTTTCATGTATCTGTATTCTCGTACTTCTCCAGTGCACAGCACTGAGCTCCTGTTCTCCCATCTTTAGACAAAACAATTCCTCTCTGGGCCTGAAATCCAAGGACACCTCACTGCCTCAGAGCCCCAAAATCTGGAAACAACAGAGAATTGGGGGAGCAAGTTTGGGGGGATTGATATCACCACCTGAAGGTGTCATTGGAGAATTGGGGCCCGATGTGTTCATGAGACAGAACTGATAAAAGGGGAAGATCTCGTGACTCGGGGTCCATTTTGGTTGTAGTCTAGAAGGAAGATTTCTCTGCCCTGAATGCACCTGTAGGGCTGGATTAAATTTGTCTGCTTTTTAATCTCTTTAACTTTGTTTGGCCCCTGTTTGAGGTAGGCCCTGTTTTGGGCCTCTGGCTGTAGCTGAAATCGCTGAGTGGGGACAGAGAAATGGGGTGAGGGGAGAGGTTTCATCTGCAGCAGCAAGAAGGTGTCCGATATCCCACATGCCAGACCATGAACTGCCCCCAAGCACAGCAGCGTGACCTGATTTTCCAGCCAAGCCGGACCGCGGCCATCCCGAGCAATGGGAATGCAGTGGGGAYGGGGACAGGGACAGCCCGGGGCAGGCAGGGACCATCCTTGTGGCTCTCACTGCTCCCTCTGCCTTCCAGCGCCCCGCTGTCCCTGCTGGCTTCCACCCTTCCTCACCCTGCTGCCTTCACAGGGATGGCAGAGYGGGGAGGGCATAGGAACCACGCTCCTTTGGGGAGGGGAATCATT